GATTTGTTCACCACTGCTGCGTATTGCTACTGCTTCTTTGAAGTCTTTCTAAAAACTATGCTTTTTTAATACTCTAGGACTGTCTAGTCTTCACAGATAGTAGAAACATGAATAGAACAGATCTCTTTTTCAAATTGTTCCTTCTAGAAAACACACAATCACATCAATCATACTATGACTAAAAATGTACAAATCACATATTACCTATTTTGGAAAACGAGCTTACAACAGGACTTTGATTAAATATGAACCGAGAGTCTAAGACGAAAAGAAATGCCGTCCAGCCCAAAGTTAAGCTTTTAGTGGATAAGGCCAAGTGTTCGATAAGGAATGTGATTTATTGAAGACGAATTTTATAAAATAGAATGAGAAGATTTTCTTAATTTTTGGAGCGACCAAGGATCTTGGACTTTCGATTTCTTTCTTGCTCGGACTTTCGCTCAAACAAGTTTGAAATGAGGAAAATAGACAGGTCAGCTTACCATGGAACATCAAAGGCAATCTGATATTATCTAGTTACCAGCAGTGCACTGAATAAATAAATGAAATGATTCGTTTAGTCTAGGTCTACGCTTTCATGCTTTTTTTCAGAGGTTGAGAATGTATGATAGTTTTAAATGCATGTGGGAACTTCTCTCAGCCAGCGGTCAGCGAGTCCCGTATGCCTCCAAATTAAATAAACGCGTTTTGTTAGATTTTAGAAAATTTTATCTTCAATCTGGCCTTTCCTCACCAATTCCTTTGCCCTACAGTAATCGTGTAAGCTGTGAAATTCACAGTAGATGGCTCCAACTAATTGGAAACTACCACAATGTAAATGCGATATTTCGATTTTGTTTTTGACACACACCGCAACTAATGCTTATGTCAGCCCTCCTTAACGCAAGCCAATGACAGAGATGAAATTCCTCATAGACAACGGTAGTGTGAAAATAGATGGTGACTAGCAAAGGCTTATTTGTACTGTGAAGAGCACAATTGTGGCAGCATTAGAATCAATTAGAGAAACAACATTAATACATGTTCACATGCACTCAAGCCGAGTCACCGCATCTATGTATGCTCTAGTGAAAGTGCAATTCAAGCATGTACTATGCACTGTTCGGTGATCTACAATCTATAACCTACAGATTGTAGATCACCGATCAAATATACAGTACCGCTTAGTCGCCGTCGTCGCACCCTCTATGCAGATATTTCGCGTAACCGTTGATTACGGTAAAGCCTGTCTCTACCTGAAATTTTTTTTTTTAACGCTGGGAAACAAAAGGAGGAAAGACGTCTTAAGGATGCTTTTCTTGAAAGGAAACGT